GTCTGCAATAAAAATAAGCAGATCCTGTGAACAACCTAAAAGATTGAAACACATAGACATCAAATACCATTTTGTCCAAGAAAGGTACAGGATGGATTTGTTAAAATAATCTACATAAACACTGCCAATCAGTTAGCAGATATTCTTACAAAACCTTTGGGTAAAATTAAGCTTGAAACACTCAGGGGAAGAATGTTTGTTTCACAGTAAAATTTTGGTTTGTTATTAGATTTAAACTTTGTGAATAATTTCTTTTGATTTTTAAATGTTTAGAAATTGTTCATCAAAGTTCTATATTTTGATTGAAGGGGGGTGTTATAGTATTAATAACAATCAAAAATCACTTTTGTATTAATTTTGTTATAGTTTGAATGTTGGCACCTTATATCTCCATATTGTGTAGAGGGCGCTCTTTTCCATTCTTATTTTATTTATTTATTTTTTTTTTCTGACAGTCTTACAAAAAAGGAAGGGCACTGTGAATTAGTGATAGCGGTGAGAGTCTGACGCTGCCTGAGAGTTTTTGTGTTCAACCTTCTTGTGATAAAAAGGGACATTACCCTGTCTCATTCTTTGTGATTTTCTCTATAATTATTACTGTGGTTAAACTGATAAATTGAACTGACAATGTTATTTATTTATACTGCTTCCATTGTCTCAAAATAAATAAATTATCATCATCATCTCATCCTCAGGGGTTGTCAAGATAATGTATTTTTAAAATCATCAGGTTCCTTTGCCACATCCTGTATAAGGATGAAGTACATATAAAAATAAATTAAGTAATCAATGCAGCAGAATGCTTATTAGAACCTGAACTAAATTTTCACATATCCAACACAAGATGGACACATACTCAATGAATCACCTGGCTCATTGTGCTTTACAAATCCTGCAGAAAATGAATAATGAATTCTGTGACAGCTGCAGAAAATAACTTTAGTTCACACAAATAAAATTCTGGTACCGAATTTGTTCACAACCACTGTGACGTGGTCTTTGTGTAAAACATATATGCTGATGAGCAACACAATTTCATTGATTGAATGCTTATTATAACAAATGTGAGGCAGGCTGACAAAAAACCACAAACACTGTTCACAACAGATTGTTAAATCTATTTTTTTCCAATATTCCAAATTTACCACTCAATTTTTTTTTTGCATCATTCTTGTTTCTCATGTAAGTGAAATTAAATAAGACCTGAAACAATGGAAAATATTAAGATATTTCATAGATCTGGCTATACACTGTTTCCGGAAATAAACTCTGTATCACATGTACCAAAGATAACATGAAAAAACAAAATTAGCCTCAAACATGTAGACGAGCACTTAGCAATATCCTCTCCTCTCCTCCAACATGCACACAATTTCTTCTTTCTTCTTTAGTATCTGCATGCATAATTTATTCTGGATGCAAAATTAAAATCTGATTAGCATTACTTCTGATCCTACAAAGAACAAAGATTTTAATTCATTTCACATGATTCTGTCCCCCAAAAAAATTAATGTACTAACCTGAAGGATAAGGTTAAGTAGACCTTAAAGAAAGGACAGAAAGATTCTGAAAAGTACACTCTTCCTAGATGTAACACTGTGTAGTCCAGCAGAAGTTCACTGAAACCTCAAAGGAATCTACTGTCTCTATCTTCAGTGGCAAAAATTACACTAAGTAAGTATCCAGCCAGAAGCAGGCAACAAGATTTTCTATAATTGTTACCCCACTCTATGGTAATGGCAGTGATCATATGTCAGTGACGAAATCTTAATTTATACAGATTAGATGATTATAATGCAAACACAGAATCCATATGAAAACACTCCAACCTTCAATGACATTCAAATAAAACTGACATTGCTTATTCATCAGAGCTTCACCTGATGAAGGTGGCATTTACATTCATACCTTACCTTACCTCACATTACTGGAGATAACATGTCTTTTATAATTACTGACAATATAAAGTAATGAGGGACCAACTCTGTAGTCTATTGGTCAGAGTTCCTGGCTACATATCCAGAGGTCCAGGTTCTATTCCCAGTGCTACCAGATTTTCTGAGTGGGTATGGAACAGGGTCCACTCAGCTTCATGAAGATAACTGAGGAGCTATTTCAAAGAAATAGCGGCTCCAGTCTAGAAAACCGAAATTAATGGCCATGGGGATTCGTTGCACTGCTGACATGACACCCTCTATCTGCTAAAGTTGGCACTAGCTTCACTGACAAGCGGCAGTCACTTAGTCGGTTGGTATAGTTCACTTGCAGACTAAAACCACAGAGTTTTATACAGTAATGCAGCTAATAATGAAGAGCATCTGAAACAGTCACTGCCTCCATATATCCACACAGTTTCAAGCAACAGGAATATATGCTAATGAACATACCTCACCTATCTTGTTGGTAAAGGGACTTCCTTCTTCCCCCACTTAAATCTGGTTGATTGGAGAAGATTATATGGAGCATAGGTGCAAAACTTGCTTGAAACACCTGGAATGTAGAAAGCTCGGAAAAATCTGTGAGACCTGAAATAGTGACAAAGTTGCACAGACACTGTACTAAATTGGTCTCAAAGTGATATTTTTAATTGTTTACACATAATTTGAATATAAGCCAGTTTTACATATTATAAATGTGATAGGCATCCATGTGATTTTAATTGCTAAAATACAATTTAAACATTTGTCAGATTTACACACCATAAAATACACTTTATGTCCCAAGTCTGTTGTGTATCCTGGTACCGCTTATTGTCAATACAAAGTTTCCATTTTCTTCTGTACAATGACAGGTTCAATCTGTAAGTTCCTTTAATGATATGAAAGTGAATATCTGAGAAAATCTCATAATCATGACTCTCATGCCATGCCATGACTATTTCTTATGAGCCAAAAAAGTCTTAAAATCTTACTTTATATACATATAGTTTGTAGTGTGATCAATTACACAGACAATGGAGGAAATCCCATAATGAGAAGCTTCATTATTTACATTTCAATCATGGAAGGTACACAGAACTGCATATGTAGTGAAGATGGAACATGAAACCCACACAAAATACTGGTAAAAAACCTCTTTGAAAGAATCAACCTTACACAAAAAATGGCCATAAGTATGTCCCCTCACATGCGTATATGTGGGACAGTGTAGTAATGTTAGAATGGATTCAACAAAACTGCAAAGGCAGATAATAAAGGAATTATCCAGACATGAGGAAGAGGAGACCAGAGCAACAGCAGAAGAAGAAATCTAAACATGCACAGGGAGATTATTTGAAGGCCTGCTGCAAATTGTTCAACCGGTCCAGGAGGACAGACACACACTACTCATGTCAACTTTACCATGTGAATTCGACTAGTGCCATAGTCTACAGCCCTGTAGCCTATATACATTACAGTTGCTCTTCAAGGTCACCCTAGTAAATCTCTGACCAGTTACTGTCAAGTCAGCTTATGCATTATGCGCCTGTTGACTATAATCCCAAGCCAGCTGCATTGCTTCATGTATCAAAATGCCATTTAACACTTTGCGGACCGGATGCATGATATCATGCTTTTCGCTTTTAAACATGGCGGACCGGTCGCATGATATCATGATTTTTGGACATGTTAGGTTGTAACACACTACACAACTGCAATGAATACTGTGTAATAAATCTTCGGAATGTATGCTAGGTATTCAGTAACTTGACCTGGCTGGCTAGGGTCGCTACTCCAAAAGAAAATAAACTTTGCCCCTTCCAGCTGTTTATGTACCAGGCAGGAAGTTAGTAGAGGGGAATATGTTTCAAGGACAAAAGTGGTTGAAGGCAAGCGATCTCTCTGACTTGTTTTCCGATGAGCTATCTGACCTGCCTTGTGGAGGAGTGACTCACAGAGTGGAAGTGACAGGGGTCAACAAAGAATTGTGGCCACAGATAATAAAGTGAAAGTTGCCTTGTGGCTTATAAATTGTTCCATTTTCAATTCATTTTTGGTTTACAAAAATCTAAACCCTGATTCAAAATTGAAATACAAAGCATTTCTGATGAATGTGGCAAAGGCTTGGGCTACAGACCAGAGGGTGGCAGCAGAACCAGAGTCAGACAGACTTAGTGTGACCTAACCCATCAACTCCTACCCCACACAGGCCTCATGTGGACACCCCTGGGCGACTCTCGGGTGATATGCGGAAACATTACCTCGTGAAAATTGTGAAGAGTGAACACTCCAAGGAGAAGCATCCTTCTAGGCAATGCCGTGTTTGTGCAGTTCACAAAAAAGGACTATGACTGTCTACATTTGCAAGTGTGTAATGCCACTTCACAAAGGGGAATGTTTCCAGAAATATCACATTCTCAAGCTCTTCTAAGAGCACTGGTAAACGTTCTCCAAAAATTTTAGTTCATAAAATTAATTAGGAGATTTTATATTAATTTTTAAAGTAAACAGTGCACAATGATAACAAATGCAAAGAAACCAGTGTTAGGCTTGAACATTCCCCTAGATAACCTCTTACACACCTTGCACAGGAGACTGGGGTTTAAACTCACTGGTTTCCAGTTTAAAGTCTGCTGTTTTTTCTAGAAAGTAACTTCAGCAAATGAATGTGAACATTTTACAGAGATGTAAGGAATGGAAGTGTAACAAGAGGGACCATTTCTGGCATCTACTGTGATCTGGGTGGGTTCTATCTGTGATCTGTTGGCTATGGGCTTGTTAACTGTGCTGCAGGTCTGAATACATGTGGAAAGAGTTGATGCAAAGAACCTGTGACTCTTCCACTGGACCAGCTAAGTTATGTGCAGAAGGCTCTCAGATAATAAATAAACTATCATATGAATGTAAATAAAAATTTAAATAAAGTCATGTAAAATTAGCATTACAGGGAATAATGTTATATTTTAGCGTCTTGTTGCACTGATTTAAGTCCATGATTTATTTAATCCGTCTTGCAGTGCATACACTCATTTATCTCCTTCTCTCCCTCGCACTACATGTTTCGGCATAATAATGCCATCTTCAGGTGCTTACTTATCCACGTCAAACCAGTTCATTGCATGCCATGTTCACACATTAAAATAACTAAAATATGTATCTATCATATACATTGTCAAACGTTAAAAATATTAAAATTGTTCAGGATACCACATCGCTACGTCGCCCCTCACTACGTCAGTCACGCCCATTCTCCTTTGTTGGAGCACTCCTTCACTATCTTGTGTGTTGTGCTTTTGTTGTGTCATGCTCCTGCGACTGCGTGTGTTATACTGTTGGGCTTCCTGGGTATGTCGGCATTATTATGCCGAAACATGTAGTGCGAGGGAGAGAAGGAGATAAATGAGTGTATGCACTGCAAGACGGATTAAATAAATCATGGACTTACAGGGAATACATGAACACAACACAATATTTTAAAACCAATGTCATTTGAAGGTTAATATAATCCCATTCTCCAAAATGGAGAACTTTCACTGTTATGTTGAACTGAATTGGATACAAACTCACCTTGCTGCATCTAGGAATGGAATTGATTTAATTATGGTCCATTGGTCAGTCTGTTGGGCATAGTTGGGCTCAAAATCAGTAGTTACACCTAAATCCAGGTCCACTAGGAAATGGCAGCGCTCTATATCGAACTACAGAAATAAAAGATACTTTAGTTTCAGTAGATTGATCACAATTTTACCAAATTAATTTCCTTGTATAATTTATAGGAAGGAAATACAAGATTATTTTTGTATCGCATAACTGTCTCCCCTTTGCCTACACACAATATCCATCAATTTTTATGGTGCATTCTGCCTTACATTTCCACTCTCCTACCAAGAGAACCAATGGATAGATCCAATACTGTACTAAAAACAAGGTTTACATAATTATGAACAGAACATTTTTATGGCTATTGGAATCACTGATATTACTTTCTTAATTCTGCACTGTTTACATTGCGTTCTCCATGTTACATGCGTCCCTTGCAGGTTCTCAGGTTGTGAATGAAGAAGCCCTCTGGATATGAAGGGCAGCTGAAAATATATTGTATAACCAGATGCAGACAGTCAACAAGGAGTTGTCCTCCAGCCTGTTATGAGATAATACACAGGTACTTGGAAGATCCTGTGAATGTGGGAATGAAACTTCAGCTGGTTTTACTCCATGGAGCTGGTCAGTCACATTGTACTACTCCTTCCCCTTCACAATCCCAACAGATGGACCAACCACCCACCTCTGTAGTGCAACTAGTAGCCAGGGAAGGCAACTCAAGTGTCCTAAAACAATATGCTTCATTTGTTCAAGTACCAACCATATGCTTATCTTCTTTATTGCATGTTCTCATTAACTGACTGCAAAGGAGGAAAAAATAATGAATGAATGTATAAGGGGTGGGCCTTCTTGGCCCTTGCACCATGACTGGTCTATTGTGCTTTAAAAAAATAATGGAACTCTTCATCCTGAAGTTCAAAAATAATAATAACCATCATCCGAACACAATAATGAAAAGTAAAAATTATCATCATGGCAATGCTGTATGGCTGTGTCAGCATTATATAAACATTTTGTATGGAAGTTGTGCTGACAATATGACATAGCTTGGTAGAAGCACAAAGAAGAGGAACAGATATCAAGTTTTGAGAAAATCAATAAATAGTGTTCCTATATACCAGTTTGTGTGGAGATGAAATAGCAGTAAATGTTTTAAAACTCCATGACTAGTAAATGTAATTCTAATATGACCACATTAATATTACAACTTTAAACAAGATACCACAGTTCGTCTGAAGGGTTGCTGTGGGGCTGAACAGAGAGGGACCACAACAGACCACTGATGGTCATGGTGCAAGGACTGGTCACCACTCATTCATTCACTCATGAATATCGTAGTGTGCAGACCCGTTACTAGGTAGCAACTGTGAAACAAATGGGTTCCTATGGCAATGAGTTCACACACAACAATAGAGGAACTGTTGGAAACAGTGTTTTCTACATGGCCCATGCCAAAGAGTTATATAACAAGGACACCAGCCAGGCTGTAGTCAGCTGTAAGTCAGTCTGTGAAGAGAAGAGGAGGAGGTTCGTGTGAGATGGCTGCCAGCCTGGGAGTTAGTCAATTTGAGCAAGAGTTCGGAGTCGCGGAGTATTAGCCAGCGAGCATCAAAGTGAGCAAAGAAGCTGAAGAATCTCCGCTGTTACAAGCCATTACCAGGGAACGAGTAATGGAAACTGTAACAGACAGAGAACACTAGTCTGCATGCAACAGTGTGTAGATTAGTGACAGCATTATAATTACTTGTAGTTACAAGTAATGTAGATACTATAGGGTTCTGACGATGGGGTATAACACACAGAAATACTGGGTTTTTGGACTTTATCCATCGTCCGGATTCTAAATACCTAAATAAAAACAGAACGTTTTGGAAACTGGATCTGTTTCCATCCTCAGGTGAGGGAAGACACCTATTTTTATTGAAGGGAGTCTTTACAGAGAAGGCTTTGGGGATGATGTCTTGAGATTTTCATCTCCTGAGGAAAGTTATATGATTGAGGGTTTTAGCTAACTGAATTTTCAGCCATTCTAATTTTCTAAAGGAATGATATATACCGGGTCCATATCGATTGTACAAGTAGATAATATAGGGTTCTGACAATGGTGTATAACACACAGTGATACTGGGTTTTTGGACTTTATCCATCATCTGGATGTGTCTTCCCTCACCTGAGGATGGAAACAGATCCAGTTTCTGAAACATTGTGTTTTTTTTCCTTAGTTATTCAGAATCTGGACAATGGATAAAGTCTGAAAACCCAGTATCTCTTTACAAGTAATGGGTTCAAGTGTTCAATAAATCGAGTCACCAATCCAAACCCTGTCTACAGTCATTCATTACAGTATGTGACAATATTATACAGGAGAAAAACAATGCAATTGTCTCAAAGTGCTAGAAAGGGGACAACCAATAAACAAGTAAATATAGTAAGTGCACTGAAATAACTGTGTTCCTGATAAGAATTTCTGAGTGATCCAAATTTTATGCTCAAATATGTTTCAAAATAAATAACAACTTCAAATTTATCCCACCATGAACACAAATTATGACTGAACTACAGCATGCAGCATAGTCAGGTACAATAAATATATTTTTCCAAGCATCATACCACTTAAAACAATTATGATAAATATGTCAGTGCTAGAGGCTCTACATTTATCTTTGGGTATGATAACTCTGAGACTCATATAAAGTTGCTGTACTCCTTCTGCAGCTCAATGATGACAATGTTATACAACATCTTCAAAATGGTGATATTTGGTCAGTAAGTACAGTTACATTCTCATCTGCTACATAAAGCTTCATTAAGAATCACTTATGAACAGTACTGTAGTGGAGGGTGGTTGTATATGCCATACAGCCTCTGCTCTGGTCAAACTTGTAGGACACATCCTCTGATTTTTTGAACAGATAACATATACCCTAGCCTTATGAAAAATTATGCAGGTGGGGGGGGGAACAGCTAATTCCTTCTTCTTTTCTGGTTAATTTGGTAACTTACAGCAAACTTCCTTACTCATTTTTTGTTTTATTCAAGGTCCCAAATAAAGAAACTGCACCTGTAATTCTTGAAAATCTGTGGACCAAGAGGAGTTTTAATATTTCTCTGTTTTGATCAGACTGAAAATAATTACTGAATATATTATTTTTTAATTTTGTGTACATTTCACTAAAATAATTTTAAAAAATTCTAAGTATGCTCATGTTTCCTCATTCTATCATAACATTACAGTCACGCAAAGACAAGTGAGACCCCCCTTCAAAATTTTACCTTATACCATATACTCTCTAGGGGGACAGTTTTGTCCATGGTTCATTTAATGATCCTTTCAGTACTGAAATTATATATCATCTGGTCATAGGATGATAGCTGAATAATGAATTATAAAGGATTCTAAAGGAAAAAAGTCATGTGAAAAATAAACAATCTGCTACCAAGATTCCCGGTTCGACGTAACATGTCAATCCATATAATGACTTGTGCTTTTTTTTTTTTTTTAATACAGGTATCAAAAGTTCCAGCACAGTAGGACAGGGATAGCATTTCCTGAACTGCATAGCCTACTGTATTTTTAGGAGGTGAATTAACATTCCATTTTAAGCTTCCAGGACCCTTTCATGGTTTAAAGAACATACTCTATATTACCAGTAAAAGTATTCATACTATTTCATTTCGATAATGTATGGGATATTTCATCATCATTGACACTTTAAAATTTGTGTAACTTCTTTGTTATGGAATAGAACTTAGTGAAACTTTTAAAGATTATTCTACACACATGGTAAATTTGTTTGTTACAATGAAACATGTTCCATATAATGTTCCCAAAGACCATACAATTTCTGTAAATGAAGAACAAAATTGTTCAGACCCTTGATTAGAGTATCTGTAGAAATGACTTTAATCTCTGTTTGGATGGAAGTTTTTGGTTCTGGAATGGTGTGCAGACTTTTCTGAAGCACCCTATCCTTCAAGTACCCCCACAGAAAATAATCACAAGGGTTTAAGTGTGTTTACAGCACTTTCTCCCTTAAAACAACATAACGAAAGCAAAGTATAGCACTGCTGGTATGAGGTCCGGTACCAATCCTGCTGAAACCAGAGTGAATTCACCAGAATGACATATCCCTTCAGGAAAGGGAAAAAATCATCATTCTGCAGACTGAAATACACATCAGAAGAGATTGTACTGTAGATGATCATGGGTCCAAATATTCCAACAATAATTTAACTCTCTCTGGATGCAGTGGGTTAGCAACAGCAGGTCTTAGATTCTCCGAGGCCCCAAATCAAATATTTTGCTTGTTAACGTAACAATCAAAGTGGAAGTGGGCTTCATCAGAGAGCCATGCAACATTCAACACAGCTGCATTGTTCTTCAGTGGCACTCTGTTCTCCCTCACAAAAGCATAACAACTCACAATTCCACCTTATGACAATGGCTGACTTGGCTGTATTGTGTATGGAAGCAACAAGAAGCGCTCATGACAGACTGTCCATGCAGTGGTGGTTGAGACCCAATCTATTGTGCTATATGTTGCAAACTTTTTCTTGGACTTCTTGTTATTGCTTTCTGAGATGGACTGACTTCTTCCATCCAAACTGATGCTGTACGTCTCCTTGCACATTTATCACACACACTTCCTGTTTCTTCAGACTGTTTAACATCTGGCAGACAGTGTCGCTCAATGGTGAAACACAAAGAGAAAACTCTTGACAGTACTCTCTCTCCATAGCAACAGAAGAACCACCAGAAGAGTAAAAGCTTTTCATAATAAACATTTTCTGATCCATCATATACAACGATTCAATCTTGTTACATAGTTCAGCAATGGTAACAGCAATAAGCAAATTTCCAACATGTGTAGAATGATCTGTAAAAGCTTCACACAACTGCATTTAATAATAAAGAAGTTACACAAATTTTAAAATGTCAGATGATAAAGTGAAACATTCTGATTTTGTTTCACTTTGCAACAAAATATTTCATCAGACGCAACTCCAAAATTAAATACACGTCAGTAAAATTAAGTATGCAATATTGATAAACTGTGCAATGAAATCCAGCCATCAGCCCCATTTGCAAACACTAAAACATCTGCCAGAAGTGTCCTTAGTCATGGGAAAGGCTTTGCTTCTTTTGTGGCTAATACAAAAAGAAGACAGCCCTGGTGGTCTGCAGCTATTAAAATACACATCAAACTCACGTATCTACTGGTCTCTTCCCTGTTTTCATTGTTCATATATGGAGGTATAATTGATGTTGCATTTGGCAGAGAGCTGTATGGTTGTGGTAACTGCCCACGAAACTCAGATTTCAGAAATTGCAACTGCCACCTGAAACATAATATAACCATGAAGGTATGTTACATTGTGTAGTTTGGTCATCTTTGACACAGAAGATGGTGGCAGCATGTTCCTACCAAAATGTCAGTAAACTTCTTAATTACTTATGCAGCTGAGCCCTTCTTGAGGAGAAGCCAAACCTGCAGCTACTCAAGAATTTCCCAGCATTTTATGGAACCCCAAGATTCATTACCGTGTTCACAAGAGCCCTCCACTGGTCCCTATCCTGAGTCAGTTCTACCAGACTATATGGCATGTTTGCAACATGATGATAACTGTTTCCATTAAACCTATTAGAAACACTGGAAAAGTATACAGGCACTTCTAGCCTGGGCAAGATGAAACTTAGAGGTCAATTTCCATGGCAAAATTTCATCACACCAAAACCTTGTAATCATAGAGTGTCAATATGAAACACCAATTTAAAGTGTCAGCATGTCCAATACATGGTAATAAATGAAATGACAATTTCATGATCGTAAAGTTAGCAGAAGAGGTAAGGTTTTGTTCATTTTGTTAATTAAAATTATATGTTTCATTGCAATGTTAAATTCTCTTTTTATATAAACATGAAATACAATCATTTCACTGTAATAAATATTGGGTCATTCCTGCATATACACTTGCTACTCTTGTCATCTTGCTGTGGAAGCTGGTGGCTAGAAATGTGTCTAAGTGGGAGAGTAAAAAACTAAGAGATGGTTAACATTCTCCCATATAAATGCTCAAAAATTCATCTCTGTAAATTGTCATACCTGGATGTAGACCTCAAAAGCATATGAGCATTTTCCTATTTCTTTACAGCATCTATTTACAATCTTCACATCTTGCCAGATCTTATGATATATGACAGTTTCCTTCTGGACACTGAGTCTAATTTCTAAGTTATTAACATACAATAATGTACAATATAGTGTCTGTGCACGTGCACGCAGACATGAGTGCAAAAGAGAGAGACAGAGAGAAACAAGAGATACAATCTGAAGTTAACACACTCAATTTGAGGTTTTCACAGTGGTAACTATTAAGAGTACTATCATCAGGGAAATTATGCCATGTGGTTCAGTAGAAATTCACCATCAATTCAAGGTAATGTACTGCCTCCACTTTGAAGTTGTAGGGTAAGCCAAACAAGCAATAACAAGAAGCAAGCAGCACTTTGCCTGAATATGATATAACTGCTTATATGATTACTCTGCTTACACATTCATCCATTAAACCTCTGGAATGTCAGTACATGACCTCAATATTTATATGTTTATGGCATTTCTTCCACTGTGCAAATTTCATTAACAGGACATTACATATATTGCAGGACATATTTTATATGCAATGAATTCATACTGTTTTCAGCGACAATACTGTACAACTCACTTCTAATAAAGTCAAAAGTTTAAGGGTCTGTAGAATATAAATTTGTGACTCACCTATTATCAGGCAGAAAGAAACTTGACGGGAAACGATACCATTCTTTGCCGATACATATGTTAACAGTTTGTTCTGTTGGCAAGTGCCTCTCTGTAGTCAAATGATTCAGCTCCATAAATAAATCCAAGGGTGCATGATAACCTGCAATACATATGTTTAACTGTCCAAGTGTGTATGTGTAATTTGTTTAAAATATTATGCATCTAAAATAATTAACTTCACATATATAGTTTATAAATTTACTTTACTATAGACCTGAGCATATCACTATCATGGAGCATGCTATATGCATACTTCAGAACTAATGCCAGCCACATTCATACAAGAGTATAAGCTTGATATAATGGTGGTATATCAATTCATTACTATCAAGAAGTTAAATTATATACTGCAAACATAATTTATAACTTGATACTCATGCTTTTGGAGATCACAGGTAATATTATGATAATAATGACCTAGTATCCTTGTATAAAGGAAAAAAAAAGGTAAAGCTGCTCCTGTACTTAACTAAGTAAGCACTACACCATGAAGGCATATAGGGGAGTTGATGTAGAGACCCATGTTTTCTTGACTTCAGCACTAGTTGGAGGGGAGTGGTTAGCTTAACGCCCTGGCCACTTTAAGTGGACTGCAACACACGGTCTTAGCTCACAACAGAGCAGTGTAGCAGTTTGCACACACTGAGACACCTGAGGATGGCCATTAATGGCCAAAACATGTTGTGTTAAGTGTTAAATGGTGAATAAACAATTGTTGCATTGAAGAAAGTCGTCTTCTGGGTTTAGGCACCGTGTATTCTTCGTTTTGGCCTAAACCCAGAAGACGACTTTCTTCACTGTCATCGCCGTGAAAACCTCAAAACTTACAAATTGTTGCATTGTTCGCGGACTGGGGATACATAGACATTTAATTAAAGATTTGCAAACAGGATGCTGAAATACAGATTTATATACTGCATTTGTGGTTGAAACATATCTAGATAAAGGGCAGAGACTGTGATTAAATGCTAAAGTTCCTTCCTTTGTCTTTGTCCTCTTGATGGTAGTGAAGCCATTATCAGCAGTCACAGCAACGTTATCTCCATTCTTCAAGGATACTTGACTCATTACATTCCTGTTGATCATAAAATCAGCAGAAAGTTGCAAATTCCAGGGCAGAGAGAGAGAGCCAGCTGACAAAGCATCTTTGTATATCTTCACTCTATTCTTCTTAGGAGCTGCTGATGACATCACATCATGCCATTCCAATGAATCTTGCACATATGTGATGTAGGGTGGTTCAGATGCTGAGACAGCTTCCAGCTTCACTCTCAAAGTTTTGTTATCCTTACAATGGGGACCAACCATCTCTGTGGTCTAGTGGTCAGCGTTCTTGGCTACAGATCCAGAGGTCCAGGTTCGATTCCCGGCGCTACCAGATTCTTTCTGAGAAGTAGTGGGTCTGGAACGGGGCCCACTCAGCCTCGTGATGATAACTGATGCACTGTTTCACGGAAATAGCGGCTCTAGTCTAGAAAACAGAAATTAACGACCGTAGGGATTTGTTGCACTGACCATGTGACACCCTCTATCCGCAGAAGTTGGCACTAAACTTCACCGACAAGCGGCAGTCGCTCGGCCAGTACAGTTCACTTGAGGACTAAAATCACAGAGGTTTTTTTTTTACAATGGGGGCAAATTTTCTCAGATAATTTGAGAGCCAATTCAGTGAAGCTTTCCATCATATACTTGGTGCAAACACTATTTCAGTGAACATTCTCAGGCTGGGCACTGAATGAATCACTGTCCTTTACTGGTGGAAGAATGAGGTCTCTATCAGAGGACACACTTCTTGCCAATCTCAAATGTCGAAGCAGATCTGAGAGAACAAATGGAGGTGTTTTCATCCCTGCCAGACTGCAGTTGCTCTACACATAGACTCACCACTCACCATGTATAAAGTATAGTCTATGTCAGATTTGAGGCTTTCACGGCGGTGACTATGAAGAAANTACATAGACTCACCACTCACCATGTATAAAGTATAGTCTATGTCGCTCACCTGAAGACATGAAAGATGAAACCTTGCAGAGCAAGGCCCACTGTAATGCAGAAAATTGTTTCCAAAAAAAAAAACTTTTTTACAAACATTGGTAGCAGACATAGATCAGGAGAATCAAAGCTGCAACAACAGCTCCCAGAAAAATGCACTCTACCACAATAACTTGACACTACCTAATGTTGCAACATGCTACAGAGCTCAGAACAAACACATACGCTCAGCTGAATGGCTGGGAGAGTAATAATATGTACATAATAACTAAATAAAATAATACACTAATAATAATTTGACATGACTGCCTTTCACCATCTTTTATTTTCCTAAAAACATTATACTATAAAGATAAATATTTAATATTTTCCAAACATCTATCTCCACGCAAATTTCAAGTACTTACTAATGTTGATTCCAGCTTACAGGTTTATACAACTGTCATGCAAGTATGTCAGTGTTGGAATTAAATGCTGTACAATTACTTGTAATATATAATATCTCACCAATATAGAGAGCAAGTATCCTTGAAACACTCAGCAGAGAACAGACAAGAACTGCCACTACCATAATTGGGGCGGTGTGAGTCAAGTAATGAGTTCCTCTTTCCACGTCTCGTATACAAAAACGGAACCACAATTTCTGAATGGAATCCACTGTGATAGCACCACACAAACAGATCAGAGGGTACACTGGGAACATGAAACGTTCCTCCTAGAAAGAGGATTAGGTTAATGTTAAATTTTGGTGATGTCAATCTACATTTCACATGTAATAACAACACATACATTCAAAACTTTCCTGAATGGAATTAGAGCTTCATTTTGGAGGTCATTTAAAATGCTACTCACCATCAGTCTACCAATAAATTACAATATAATCACAGGATTGACAGCATACTGAAACACACCTTGTGTGGTTGAGTAAAGAACACAGTACCCCACAGGTAGAGAGGCATGAGGGATAACCAATAAGGCAAACAGGCAGGATTACGTGGTTTTGAAGGCACCAGCCATGCCACAATAATCTGCAACATACAATCTATATTAATGAATGTGTATCTTGCAAATTATTTGTCTATTAATTTTTATACTTCTGTAATACAAAAACACCAACTCACTCTTAGCTGTTAATCAGCCCTTCATGCACTTGCAGGCTTATAAATAATGGCCAAAGAATGATTCACTCCATGAAGCAGAGTCCATTTTAAGAAGCTAACAGTTGCTCAGGAAGTCAAGAAATGCCATCCTCTTTCCGTAATACAAAGGTTCATTACTTTGTTCAAAACAGTAAGCCCCTTGTCCCTATTCTGAGCTTCATAAATCCAGTTCCCAAACTCCCACCTTATTTCTGGTGCTATGCTCTATGACTGCATTTACCCAGTCATTCCTACCAAGCACTGACCATACCTGCTACCCTCCCCTGCTCTTGATCTTTCACTGTATCTACTAGAGGAACATAACGACTCAACGTGAGAATAAAGTCACTTGTAACTGTAAAGGAAAGCTATCCCTGTAACAGGCCATGGAGGTCCAAAGGGTTGTGAGGCATTGTGGCTCCCACGTCTTCTAAACAATCAGCTCACAAACAGAAATGAGATTGTCAGCCTTATGCACTGGCCACCTCTTACCCCCAGAAAGATTCCTGGTACTCATTTCTTTTAAAGGCTGTGTTGATCCCAGGTAGATAGTGTAGCTGGAACCATTACGTAAATAGAAAAATCCAATGACTTCATTGGGAATTGAATCAGGGACCCTTTGGCTTGTAGCATAATGTCTCAACCAAATGCGCAACTGCTGTAACTGTACATAATGGGTATGTATTCAGATTATCCATTCACAGCAGCTGAGGTCCATAGCAACGTACAATGTAGTTAGTTACCAGGCCCTGAACACCAATATGTGATCCTACTCTTCAACCCTGAAGAATCAGGCAATACATTCATCCAAAACACCTGTAAACATACTTCAAAATATATGGCATAACATACCGCAAGATCTTCACAGTCATTGCTATGATAATCTCAAATTAATGCAGACTGTTCACATAGTGTCCAACAAAATATTCAAAATTTTTAAGTAAACTGTTTATTTTGCATCAGATTTAAAACCTACCAACACCCCCATCACCCAAATTCTACTGTCATAATTACTATGTATGAATTCATATTGTGGTCTTCTAGGTTATGGCACATGTAGTCTGGTAAGCAGGTACCAATGCTTCGGAGAATCATGCTGTCTGGCCGAGCTATGGCCCAGGTGGTCAGTCCCTGGCTTTCCACTGTGGCAGCCCGAGTCAGGTCATGTGGGATTTGTGGTGGAAAAAGTGCCATTGGGGCAAGCTTTCTGCTCCACAATCACCATTGTCTACCATCTGCATCCGGCACAATAGGCCAGTAGTGTCCACAGTACCAAGTGGACTCCATCTCACCCAACTAAGAATAATAATACTTACTTACTTACGCAGCTGAGCCCTTCTGGAGGAGCTGCCAATTCTGCAGCTACCCAACAATTCCCCAGCGTTTTATGGAACCTGAAGGTTCATTACCATGTTCACAAGAGCCCTCCACTGGTCCCTATCCTAAGCCAGATCAATCCAATCCATACCATACCATCCTATCTCTCTAAGATCCATTTTAATATTGTCCACTCACCTACGNTTGTATCCACCTACAAGATTTCACACTAACAACCTGAAGACCAAAATATAAAACGTGAAAACAAATATTATACTAATGCATTAAGATTATTGCTGCGTGTTGCCTATGCAGTCCGACTAATAACTTCACGTGGGTCTCAGATTTAGCGGATATTTCTTGAATGCTCACTCTTACACACCCAAGTACGATGAGTGTCACTTCCACTGCATTTTGCAGCGGCTATCTTCCAATTGTACTCTTCCAACTCTGGTCTTCTAACTCCCTTCAATGGCAACTATCTCAAGACTGACACAGCGAATGCATTCAACCCTTATGTAGGTGGGTTCTGGACCAGATAGAACACACCATTTTCGAAAGTTCAGTTTCTGCTGTTTTGTCAATCCATTGTTACGTAACGAACCTTCTATCTCTGGGGAAACACGTTTGTTGATTCTGCAATTCCTACGCAACGGCCCACTGTTATTGCGTTACCATGGAAGTATCTACTCCAAACACGCTACATTATAAATCATACTGACTTTACAACACATGACCAGACTATGCGCAACATACTTACCAACATGAGAGGTGTTAATATAGCAGCAACAAACAACAAATTGAAATTGAGAAACAAATTAATGAAGTAGAAATGGAATGGTTCAGTGCCATACAAGTCTGGTCCGTGGGATGTGAATACATTGTAATACACTATGTTGAATGGGGCCACCACCAAATGGCCAAAATATGAGGAGTCTAATTTCACCATGGGTAACTGAAAATCATAAAAAGGAGTCAATTAGCTTTCACATGGTACAAAAATACAATGTATCTAAGAAGTCATGGTGCAGTTTTCAAGCACAGCTATTCTGGAACAATTACTGCTAGAAAGCAAGAAATATGAAGAAAAACCATAAAGAGTGATTTTTATCCATATTGTTAGTTTTATTTGCAGGTTATTTAATGATACTTTAAGTACTAAGACTATACGGCATTAGATTGTGGGATTACAAATGAATGATGAATTGAAAAAGACATGGAAGTGGTCATGGCCTAATCAATGTGCTATCCCTTCATTTTATTGCAGGGACTGGGAAAAACCATGGAAAAACTAGCTGAAATTTGAAATGAGAACCTCCCAAATGCAGTCCAGAGCAGTGTTTCTCAACCACCGGGCCACGGACCAGTAACAGGTCATGGCATCCATTATGCTGGGCTCTCGTTGTATAAAAAGGAATTTACTATGCCACAGTCTCACAAAGGTTGAGAACTACAGGTCTAGAGCATAACCTCTAGACCAACCTGTTTGGTGTTTGCATAATGGGGGGTGGAGTCCAGCTGGGTCCACTTGACACGTGGGCCTTTTATCAGCCTATTGTACCTGCCCAGGGTGGTTATGATGGAGAATTCGGTGGAATGAAAATTGGCAGGGGAAACTGAAGTACTCTGAGATAACCTGCCCCAGCGCCACCTTGTCCACCACAAATCCCACTTGACCAGACACAGGTTCGAACCCGAGCCACTGTGGTGGGAAGCCAGCAACTAACCGCTTGAGCTATGGCACGGCCTACCTGTTTGGTGTTAGTGAAGTTCAATGTAAGGCCCATTTTGTGCTCTGAAAACATCTCACCTGTTTCATTTATAATTAATTCCACATCATTTTGTTTTACTTAAGCATTTCAACATGGTGGTATGTACTAAAATGAACTTGAAATGTAAATTTATTTTCTGTGAACAGTTTTATATAGATACAAATAAACATAAGCACAATAGATCATTGAAGGTCCTGGTTGCAATTATTTTTAGGACAACCAGTACAGACTGAGACCTCCACTTCATAGCTGATAGTGATTAGTACACAGCATCAACATAATAATATTAAACTACTTTGCATAGAAGTCTGTGTAGCCTGACCTTGTCACAGTCATTCCAAAAATCTTGTACCATAAATTTTTATCTGTCTTCTAGCACAGCTGTTTCCATGAACGCCTATAAGAACCACATTTCTTATGTACAAAAAGTTTCCCATTTTTTAGAATCCATTCAAAACGTGTCATTTTATATCTGAAATTTTCCAGACTTACTTGACAAGAGAAGTGGTTTAAAAATTAAAAACACTATATAACACAACACACAAGCAAGCAATACATATTTTTAAAACCGTTATGCCTACATAGGAGTATTTTGAATTTACATCAAGATTAAGGGCCCCCATACACACACAGTCTGGCCTCCCATTGGGCCTGCACAGTTGAAGACTGAAAGGCAAAACTGATGTGTGTGGTGCAGCCGGCCAGCCAGCCAATCGTTTGGACTGTTGGACTGTAGGACACCTGTCAGTCCATCAGTTCTACCTGCAGGACATAGCACGTGACGTGTGTGACTCAGCAATATATGCTGGAAGCCTGCTGGTTTATTTGCGCATGTATGGGGAAGGAGAGGGAGAGGGCAAACTGTGAAAGTTTTGCCTGTAAGGTCGATCAGAAGGCCAAACTGTGTGTGTATGGGGGCCCTTAGTGTCAGCAACATAGGCTGGAAGACCGTGACTGTTGCATGAAGCCTGCTGGTTTATCTGCACGTGTATGGGGAAGGAACGGGAGAGGACAAACTGTGAAAGTTTTGCCTGAGGTCAATCGGAAGGCCAAAGTGTGTGTATGGGGGGGGCCTAAGATCTATACCACATACTTTCATAGTAGTCACTAAAAGTTAATTTCAAATTACTCACAGATGATACTTACTGCCTTTAACCATACTACATGTCCTCGTATATTTGCATTCAATTTGTTGAAAACTGATAGTGTAAGTTAAACTGACTCCATGTAGGAAGCTGCAACACTTTATTGATTCTCCCTACACACTTTATGGCATAAGAAAGGGCTCAAGTTATCAAATGAAGATATGAAAACAAATGTTTTTAAGAGCCACCAGTAAGAAGATACAGCATTCATTAGTTTTTCCTGGAAAGAAATTTAGTAAATCGCTTAAGTTAGAACTTAGCATACCGGGTCTCATCTGGACCCTTATTCTCTAAATCTGTATAGAATCTTCCTTTGCAATGTTCCATACCATGAGGTGTTTTACAAAACAGATGACTTTAAAGCTAATGAAATCAAAAATAAAACACACATAGAAAGCATATTTACACACATACTGTTATACTTACAAGAATAACTGCTACAGATATTAAACTCCAGTTGAAGAATTTGATAATTTCCCTTCTTCGGAAAAGCATGTCAACTGCTATGGGAACTCTGTAAAGTATTCAGTAAATAAATTCTACTTTTGTATTGCTCTTATATTATGTATACATATTCTGGTATTCTAAGAACAAGTGTGCTACACAAGAGGTAAACAGATGTATATAGAAAAATATTTTTATATTTTGGCTAGATCTCTATCACTGTCCATATTCTGAGTTCGAAGGAATGTAAACAGAAATCTGCCTCACAGGTAGCAATCATCATATCAGACAATTAGATCAGTCTGGTTGTGTTTGTCCAATATAAGAAGTCTGAAGTGAATTATGTATATCACAACAAGAAAATGTTGTACTCTTTGTAACTGGTTTTTCTTAATGTGAACGAAATTTATCAGTCAGATTTTGTTGCCATCATCACCAATGACAATGATGACAATGACTACAAAATTTACACACTGAACATGAAAATAAAATGCAATATACTTCTATTCGTCAGAGATATTGTGCTCTATGTTATCATTGTTACCTTTCATTCCAGCATGTACATTCTCAAATATTCATATGAGTGGCATCATAAGATTTAAATGATAATCAGTTTTTAACAATGAAGAAAGCAGTCTTCTGGGATTTGGCACCGTGTATANTAAATTGAAATCTTAAATTGAATAGTTAAAAATAAATACTATGTAATGTGTTGCTATGGTCTGTCATTAGTGCATAGATTTGGGAGTCCAGTTATACACTTATTATTATTAAAACACTATATTATTATTATTATTAAAACTGACACATGAAGTCCATTGAGGTAATGACTATTGCTTAAAATTGAATAAAACTGAAATTAAAATTGTACAATTTATTAATTTATGTTAATGGGACTTATTTAGACTTTCATGTGACTGCTATTTAATTGAAGTTGTAGCAAATGTGACTGGGGTAACACACTGTGCTGAGATCCTTCTTGCCAATTATGATGGGTTGTATTAGTATTCCTACTGTATAGCGCCTATACATGATTTTTGAGCTTGGTATCCCACTCTGCTAGATTTTTCATGGAGTTAGTTAAGTTTTATATTGCGTAATATATGTTAGCCTCCCATGGTGGTGATGGTGTTAATGTTGTTGCGGTCTTGTCAGTCCTGACACTGCTACATGCATTGTATATTTTAAAGAATGCCATGATGAGAGATGCCGTTCCCGACTTGGAGCCTTCAATTTCTGCAAGGGAGCCTTTCCATACTTTGCCTTCACCATCACCAGCATCCCTTGGCTCATTTGATTAATTTTTTGAAAACAGTAAAATAAACAATATTAATATTAATAAAACATTCTCTATTGTTACCTTTCTGGTTCACGTTCAGAACATACACCCTACTGTAATGTATTGTAATGTGTTTAGCGACTGAAGACGCCGTTCAGATTGTTAATTGGTTTATTTAACAACTTACAAGTATCGGCTACAATTATTTATAACACAGTTGCGGGGGTTCACAATTTATAACCCTATTCGCAAATCAATTCACTCTGTCTTCAGTAGTCTACATGTATTCAGTACGGGAGCTATACAAATGCAACTGTATCACACACTCCCAATTATTACTCGGTAATCACAAACTATCCTGATTATCACACACACGTTCAGTTCTTCTTTCCACGACGGCTGATAGACTCCAACTTTGGGCTGCTGACTGGAGAACTATTTTCGGCCGCTGATACACTTTAACTCGTTCACTGCTGACTGGAGAACTTGAGAACTATCTTCAGCCGCTGATACACTTCAACTAACTGCGATAACTGAACTTGGCGACGGCCACATTTCAACTCAACTCCGTAGGCAGTGTGGTTCACTTATATAGTCGCAGCGCTTGCCTGTTATGCAATCAGTACCACTGTTACGGCTGTTACCCATGTCACAGCTGCGTTGCGTGTTACATCACCGCGGAGGGGGGGAACGGAGCACTGGCTCATCCGCCACGTCACTGTGGCCAGAGTTGCCACGTCACTGCTGGGTAGGGAGGGGTTCTCCTCCATTGCGCAACATGTCACAGTATTAAAAGTAACTGATAAACCAACAATTTAATTTTACACAGTGATTTCACTTGTAAGTGAATTGTGAGTTCTACGCCAACTTGAAAAACACAGCCACCCTTAAATTACAGTAATATTCCAGTAAATAATATACTGTCTCACCCTATCAATGCAGCAAAAGGCCAACTGAGGAATGATGACAGTGCTGTAGTGAATATGGCAAGTTCATACTTCCTTTGATACCACGCTCCAAGTGACACCAAGCACATATACCTGCAAAAATATAAAACAACTCATAAAAATGTAGCTGTAATTTCAGTTTTAACCATCCTCCATGAGATTAACAAAACAACATTCACCTCAAATTACACAAAGTTAGTTTATGTATAACTAAATGCAATATAGGTCCCCAATGAGAAAGTGGTTACGTGTAAATAAAATACAGAAGCGATGCAGAACAAACGTACTTCACCTGTCAGAAAGACTTAACTATAACAAATTCTTCCTATACCTCATTCAGTATCTTCTTGAAAATGAAGCATCACATTCAAAGATTTAATCCAAACCAAAAGATTGTAAAACAACACAGCAAGTCACGAACAAACCCTGGACAACATCAAGAACCTCCTCATCAAGACAGACAGGCGGCACAAAATCTGCCCCATACAAGAAGGACGATAGGAGTACGGGCACAAACCTATGTGGTTTAAAAAATTTTAACTATTGACAATAAAGGTTATTTTTAAATAACATCTAGAAACTTTTAAAAACTTTACAACACCAGGAAGCTGCTGTGATTGAGAAACGTTCGACTTTAATCATATTGTGCATTATAGGATATAAGTGTATGTATTTTAACACTTTGCGGACCGGCAGTTTAAATATTTAAATCCCCCTGGGGACCGGCATTTTTAAACCTACTACCCTAACTTGTGCACTGTTCACTTTAAAAATTAATATAAAATCTCCTAATTAATTTTATGAACTAAAATTTTTGGAGAACACTTACCAATGCTCCTAGAAGTGCTTGAGAGTGTGATATTTCTGGAAACATTCCTCTCTGTGAAGTGGCATTACACAGAACTTGCACATGTAGACAGTCATACTCCTTTTGTTGTGTACTCTGCAAACACAGCATCGCCTAGAAGGCTGCTTCCCCTTGGCATGTTCATTCTTCACAATATTCACGAGGGTATGTTTCCGCATATCACCCGAGAGTTGCCCAGGGGGGTCAAAATGAGGCCTGCGTGGGGTGGGAGTAGACAGCCCCTGTTGTACGAAGACTGTGTCTGCCGCCGCATCTGCCGCAACCGTGTGGTCTGTAGCCCAGGCTTTTGCCACATTCAGCAGAAATGCCTTGTATTTCAATTTTGAATGAGGGTTTAGATTTTTGAAAACCAAAAATGAATTGAAAATGGCACAATTTATAAGCCACAAGGCAACTTTCTTTGTCCACTTTACTGTTTTCTGAGGAACAGAATAATAGGCCAAATACTGATCGGCTCTATCAACTCCCTTCACGAACATATTATACTCGGAAATACAAACAGGCTTCTTTACCTGTCCATGTCTCCTTTGAACATCAACCATGCTCGAATTGTGAATTGTGGAAAAACAGTTCCGCTACTTCAGACACTTGCGTTGGGACCAATGGAATTTGCTTCACCCCTGGATTTCCAGTAAACTGTCCCAAAGCAGGCGTGTTGTCTACTTTTCCCCATGTGGCTGTCCCCGCAATGTTTCTACCTGCACTTTCGTCAGAGCTACTGTCACTTTCACTTTCACTGTCTGTGGCCACAATTTTTTGTTCGCCCCTGCCACACTCACTATCAGATTGTGAGTCGCTATCACTAGCAGACTCACAAGGGACGTCAGATAGCTCATCGGAGAACAAGTCAGATATTTCTGGTTCTCTGGGAAAACGCTTGGACCTCAACCTCTTCCGACCTTGATCCATTTTGCACTAGTAACTTCCTGCCTGGTGCATGCAGCTGGAAGATGAACAAAGGCATTTTCTTTTGGAGTGAGAAAGGAAAACAGTTGGGTCATAAACAGCGGGGTCATGTTACTGACTATGAAGCAAATATTCAAGAGGTCTATCACGCACCAGTCATGCGTCTGCCTGGTGCCAGAGCAAGGTATAGTGTGTTTCAACATAACGTGTCCCAAAGCCATAATAATATGCCACCGGTCCGCCACGTTTAAAAGCGCTGGACATAAAAATATGCCACCAGTCCGCGAAGTGTTAAGTCAAAACACCTATTGTGATGGTAGTTTACTATTATCCCAATTTACTATTTCCCACAAAAAATGTTTCTTACATGGAAAATGTTGACGGCAGGAAAGCTGTACTGGATATGAACATTCCAGCACTAAACACAAGAAATGCCAATGCTAGACGACCAACCTGAATTCCAAACTCACGACAGATACTCCTAGAACACACACAGAAAACAGACTTTCATTACGGTTTGAACCAAATCATAATTGAAATGACAATAGCTCCAAAAAGAATTAAGATAATAAAATACAGGATTCACACTAAGAGTATAAATATATTTCATAAAAACTAAGATTTTAAATACTCTTTTATATGAGCATGAAATGTGTGTCACACCACAACAGAAGAATGAGGACTGGGGTTGTCTGAGAACAGGCTGTTGAGGATATCTGGAACCAGGAGAGAACAGTGGCTTAAGAAAACAGTATAATGATGAAAAGTACTATCTTCTGGGATATAAAGCCATGTAGTCCTTTGAAAATCAAGAGACATTTCAGAGGAACATATCACCTCAACCTTCACATGCTTTCATGCTGATTTCTAGCTTGGCTTATTCTTCGACCTTGAAAGTGATATGTTCCTCTGAAACATCGGTTAACTTTCAGTGAACTACATGGCTTTATGTCCAAGATGATAATATTCTTCATAACCACCGCTGTGAGAACCTCAAATCGTACATAGTATAATGACAATCTTTGTAATTGAAATGCCCACCATATACTATAAATTACACGGGATGAGAGAGGCAGTGTCTTAGATGCTTTGGGGAGGGGGGGGATCGAGTATCCCCCCGCCAAAATTTTGGAAAAAATCAAAAAGAAAGGGGGGAAGGAAGAAGGAATATTGCATGTATTAATACCAAGCATCAATTATTTTTAATTATTCTTCTATCCTGAACAGTCTATGGGTACCCATGAAAATACTCTTAAACACCTTAAAAAAGTCTGTCAGCAAAATTTCAGTCTCCCATTGTATTAGTAATTTCATTTATATCAGTAAGCTTTAAACCAGTATTAGTCTTATAACGATACAAGACACTGTCATGTGAATTTTATAGCCCCATACCACTTCTGTTGAAGGCATTTTGTGAATTCTTATTCAGACATGCTAATAATGCAAGTAGGCTCCTAAGTACTGTGTAGCTTAAAATAAATTAAAGTGACTTAAGCTTCCAAAGAGTAACATACCTATATCAGAATTCTCATGTATCAAATTTCATTACAAAACGTTCATAAATTTGAAGAACACATATATGTTAAAGTTCAATTAAACCCTTAAAATGGTGCTTAAAATTAATGAAGGTAAATAAAGTGTACACATGGTATTATACTAATTCTTTAATAAAGCTGCAAAACATTAAGTTTTATAAAAATCTGTAAATGTCTCAAAGGATACATGTAAAACTTCAATTAGGCTCTTCAAATTGATGCAAGAAAATAAAATTTGAACAAGACATAACCTCACACACTAAAAGTTCAGCATATCAGTTTTCACAAATATCTATTAACCAGTCAAGTGGTTGTTTTCCGTGTTCTTATCTTTCACACCGTGGCACATTAAATCCTCCTGGACATTTAAATTTGTCACTGTGGCATTTAATTTTATAACTTCTGCTCCCTTTTTAAAATAATATATCTCAATCATGTGTCACTATAAAATTATTGAACAAAAAGCCTCTGAAAGATCAATTATCAGATTTCATGTACCTGTATTTTCATTTCTGTAGCCATTACATAAAAGTTTATATATTTTTTAGCAAAATTCTGTACTTTTGGCTTTATTATCAAAAAATCCACCACTGTCGCCACCGACTTTCATTTCAGTTCAGACTATGTGATCTTACACACCTATGCCTGAGTCATGCACATTCAATACATGTGTTCTTGACTGGTGCCTGTTGTTTAGAAATGAAACACAATCATATTGGTCAGCTGACAAATCTGTCTAGCAACACTGTGTATGCATCATTGATAAACAGAGTTTCTTATTGCTGTGTGGGCTTAAAATTTATATTTCCCCTGCAAGCTCAAGGCTAGTATAGATGAATGAACTGAACTGCTTTTCCAAACATCACTGCAAAACTCTTATCGTCTACAGACTATGAAATCATCAGTAAAACATTTATACCACTGGAAACATTTCTTCAACTCGAGTACCAAACACTGTGAATATTTTATAATTATGTAGTTTTCAATACAAGCCCAGTTATGGGTCCTACATTTTAGTTTCATATTAGGCATGTTTTCTAAAAATTTTGGGGCATACCGATTTGTTTCTCTGGCTATTACTTCCACAATATCTGCCATAAAAACAGTTCAATATATTCCAAGGGGTTACTATGGTATTCTAAATATACATTTATAACAGGAATAAATGGCAAATGTGGTGCTCAGCACCTGAATTTGCCCATACATCAGGTTGCATGCTACTGTTGCTGACATTTTCTCCTTCATTGCAGCTGAAACATTATTCACCACCTGATGAAATGTTCACATTTATTTCACTATCACCATCATATTCACTCCCTGAAATACCACTGTATTCATTCTCTTGTAACAGTTCATAAAACACCTCATCACTTATATGCATCTTCTTGCTAGGATCTGCCATAATGTTTAGTCGAAAGAACTCGAAACCAGGACAGCTGTCAAGCAATCAACAACTTCCTGTCACACTCTAAAGTCGCTAGAACATCTTGCAAGCACAAGGTACAAGTTTACATTGCTGATTAGCATTATATCTACGAATTCTGATAATGTACGTTAAAAGCTGGGTCATGCTATAAAAATTTAATTTCTCCACNGGGAAAACGCCCTTACTACCCACTGTATACAAGACTAGATAGCCCAAAAAGCTGACCTGCACTCTGGAGATGAAAAAGAAAGTCTCATCCCTCCCAGGAATCAAGCCACAATTCCTTGACTTTTATAGATGATAGATACTTGAAGATTCTTAAATGCTCTGAACATTCATTGCCATGTTCACAAAATCCTACTGCTGATACCTATTCTGAGCTGAATTAATTCAGCTCACACCCTCTAAATCTATTTAAGACCTATTTTAATATTATCCTCTCATCTATGCCTAGATCTTCCAAGGGATCTCTTCTGTCTCAGCCTTCTAATCAAAAGTTTGTGTTCATGTTTAACATAACTTGTATAAATTATTTTATTACAACATTGTGTTACATTTTGGTGGCTATCTCAAAATAACAGTGTAATGTTTATATACTTACTTGTAGAAATAGACTTCACAAAAAGCACACAGCAGACCAAGTAGACAGCGAGAGAAGTAGAAAATAAGAAATCTGTTTGGTTGGAGGAGCTGATGGTATAGCCAGGCAGGGACCACATGAATCAAGAGATACGTATATGAGCGAAGAGCATATTCTGGACTATACTCCCATGTCTGGAATCCCTTACCAAACAGCAAATAATGACTCTGGAACAGCATTTTAATGAGAAGATATAAAAACCAGTGCTTTACTCTTCAAATTAGCAAAACAAAATACTATTATATTATTATAAATGACAGATTTCTGTCACTGGTCCTTCCAGGTTCAATATTTGTTTCACTTTTAGTAACCACAACTTAGATCACCAAACAAAAATAATAATTGTGTTGCCTTATTCATAATTATGTGCTGGTGTGGCTGGCTACCATGTTTTCAACTTTCTACAGTGGGCTGAGGTCCTAAAACTAATTAATGTAACCTGCAACTAGTAGAAGTAACAGACTTACTGGCTCCCAGTAATTAAATGTTTCATCACAATCAGAAATGGAATTCCACATTGCTGCACAAAATCGAGCTGACAACAATGCCTTGAAAGCTGTATCGCCGCTTGGATAAACAATTCCTATGTCTGCTGGATTCGGATTTGAGGGAATTTCTTCATTCCTGCAGTAAACATATAAAAGCAACCTGTGTTTCTGGTTTAACCTAACTTTTATTCAAACAACCGAAATTTACAGGCACATTCATTCACATGTCCGTTTGAAGTAGTCACCTGCAATGAAGTACATATTAACATAGCATTAATTGTACCTTCCAATTGCTGACAGTTTTCTTCCAGCTAACTTCTTCGGATCTCTTTTACCATTATTTTGCTTACGCTGACGAACAACTGACGCCATTTCCGATTCCCGTTCCCGCCCCTGATTAGCCGCGTGTAGCCGACCGATGGACCTGGGGGGCCGGGGATTGTCACTGCAATATCAATGTCTCCTATTGGTGTATTTTCACGTAAAACTTTTGACGTTCTGGTTACATAGCAACAAGGTAAACAACATGGAGGAGAAATATACATTTGTTTATATTGAAAGTAAAAAATACAAAAGGCTTCAAGACCCATCTATTCAAGAATTATTATTGAAATGGTAGGTCTAATTACATCAAAGAAGAGCGTCAATTCCAATGCTAAGACGTGACATAGATTCTTTTCAACTGAGAGCAGACGACACAGCCACTGAATAACACATGGGGTTGATTTATTTATTTATTTATTTATTCCACCCCCAACCCCCAATTTCCATAAGGGTTAGCAGTTAGC